ATTCATTGGGCCGGAGGGAACCGAAGATATGGATGGACTGCCACAACAGCTCACGCAATGACAAAGGAGCTAATGTTAATGGTTTAACCCTGCTGAAGCAGAACCCGTCAATGTTTTCCACGTTGAAATGTTTCTGAATTCTGGCTCTGTGGGAAATTTCGGCTTTTCATGCCGAAGCCAACAGCTCCGGTGATGGGTAGGGCCCGGCGTGCCACCGTTCCAAGCACACATCTCCCCTGCCCCCGACCTCCAGCCTGGGGAGGGGGTGGTATTTTCTGCTTGCATCCGGTTAAGTTGTCACCCCAAACCCCAGCGAGCGGTGACGACGGGGCGCGGGGGAAGGGGGCTCTCGCCCCACAGCGCTGACGCCCGCCCACGTCTGCCCCCGGGGATTGTGGGTAGCGTCCCGGCCCCGCTCACCTGGGAGGGTCTCGCAGACGCTCATGTTCTGCTGCAGGGGCTGGTGGCTCAGGGCGCAGCAGACGGACCCCCCGGGGCGGGGCGTCAGCGACAGGCTGCTCCGCACCTCGAAGGCCCCCTGTCTGCTCCGCTGCAGCTCCACCGGCTCGTCCTGGCTCAGCCGGGTCCCGTTCCCGTCGTGCCACGTTATCTCGGGCTGGGGGTAACCCCCCGCGGAGCAGCACTGCAGGACCAGCTGCCCCCCAGCCCGGGAGAGCACGGCGAGCTGCGGGGGCTCGTACGGGGCTGGGAAAGGAGAGAAGGGGGGTGAGGCCTGCTGCCCCCAACCACAGAAAGGGCTGCCAGACTCAGCCCTCAACAGCCCCCCTGCCCTGGTACTGCAGCGTCCCCTGCCCGGCGCCCAAAACTCCCCCCACTCCTAGTCACGACATCTTCAACCAGGGCAGTTTCCCGTCCATGTTAGCGCCGGCTCCCCCGTGGGGGCCGCGTCTCCCCCAGCTCTCCGGCTAGGAGGGGACTTCGTTTCCCACAATCCACGCCGGGGATTGATCCATCGGAGGGGTCAGAGAAGAGCCCCGGGAAGGATCAGAAACGTGCCCTCGAGGGAGAGACGCCAGGCGCTCCAGCCGCTTAGCTCAACAAAACACCCCCAGGGCAGGTTGGCTCCAGCCAGGCCCGGCGCGCCGCGGTTACCTGCCACATGGAGGACGATGTCCATGCTGTCAGCACCCTGACCGTCCATGATGAAGCACCGGTACGTGCCGCTGTCCGAGGGCCGCACGCCGGCCAGACTCAGGGCCGCTACCCCCTCGCGGATCCCCTCCAGGAGGAGCCGCGTCCGGCCCCTGAACTCCTCAGCCTGGTCTCCCAGCTGGTCGGCCCCCGCGTGGTAGCTGTGCACCACGGAGCCCCCCGCCAGCTCCCGCAGGAGGTGCCAGTGCACGCGCAGGTGGTGCGGGTGGGGGTCCAGGGGTGCTCGGGCCCTGCATTCCAGCGTGACGTCCTGGCCGGCCCGGTGGTGGAGCTGGGGGCCGTCACTCGCCTGAGTGGCCGTGTCTGCAGGTGAGACAAGGAGGGGGGTTACCGGGTACAAGGGTCCCCCTCCTGGACAACCCCCCCCACACAATGCAGCTGTATCACGGGTGCCGTGCAGCTGCCAGCCCCAGCCCCTCCCAGGAGCTCAGGGAATCCTCTGGCACATGTGGGTAACAGCCTACTGCTGCCGCCAGCGGGCGAAGGACGCTCAGATGGGGAGACACCAGGGTTCGGATCCGAGAAGTGGGCCCAGCACGGGGCTTTGGGCTCCGGCAGATCTCAGAACCGCGGCAGCCAAGCCAAGCGCCCCGTGACCAGCACTGGGACTCAAATGCACTGGTCTAGATTGTCCCTGGGGTCACTTGGCAGGCTGGGGGCAGGGAGGGGATCAAAGCGGAGAACCCCACACGCACGGCTCTCAGGCATCCCATGGGACAGCACCCTGCCCTATCTCCCGGGGCGTCCGAGGATACATCCACTCAGAGGTGGTGCGGTGCTCAGATGCTCCGGTGATGGGCGCCAGATAAGCCCCTTGGACAGTAGTTCACGGAGTCCCTGCCTTCAATGCAGCCCGGCTGTTGGGCCCGACGGCATCGTTAGCCAGCCCCAGCCCCGCCCCCCCAGCGCCCGGGAAATGACCTCATGGGACTCACCTGGTCCTGCGGCGACATGTCCCAGCACCACTAGCCAGCAAGCCAGCCGCAACATCTCCACGGGCGGGGAGCAGCTCTTCCTAGCGCACAGCGACCCAGAACCGCCCGGCCTCCCACACAGCCCTGGCCGGAGAATCCCCCTGCGGTTCGCCAATCCGGCCCAGGGCGTCCAGGCGGTGTAGCGAACTCGGCTGGAAGTGCAAGCGATCACTTTGAGATTTGGGCGTGGGCTCGGGCAGCTTGTCCCGAGCTCACAGCCTGTCTCTGTACCGATCCCTGGGCATGGCCACCCCTTGGGAGACTGGGGGGAGGATCACTGACTTCCCCCCGGGACAAGGGGGCCAGGACAGGTGTTCAAGACAGGGAACTGCTAGGACCGTCTGGGGTGGAATCAGCACAGGGGACTGGCCAACCCTGCCGAGACAAGGGGAACCCCAAGGGCTAAAGATGAACACCTGCCTTCATGGGGCACTGGATGCGATCAGAGTCAGTCTGCAGACAGAGCCTACAGGAGGGGTGAGTTTGCTTCCCGACCACCGGGAGCAGCCTGCTTTGTCTCACACTGGTTTGGGGGTCTTGTATTATTCTCCTGGATCCAGGGCCGGCTCTTCCATTTAGGTGACCTAGGTGGTTGGCTAGGACACCATGATTTGGGGGGGCGGCGTTTTGCCGCCCTCGGTGGCAATTTGGCGGCGGGGGGGTCCTTCCGCGCTCCGGGTCTTCGGTGGCAATTCTGGGGCAGGTCCTTCACTCGCTCCGGGACTCGCCGCCAAAGTGCCCCGAAGACCGGGAGCACAGAAGGACCCCCGCCTAGGGTGCCGCTCCTGCCTGGATCCTAAGCCAGGCAGCTGTATGTATTTCCTTGCAGCCTTCCAGTGGCAGCATGGATGTGTCTATTGAAGGGCTCTGGGGGCGGGCTGGGAACAGAGCATCGGGGTGAGCTAGAGCGGAGCTGTCAGCGGGAGACGCCCCGTTGCAATTTACAGACTCCCAGTGGTGCAGAATCCCCCCGTCTGGTCCTGTGGCTAATTCCCCGCTCGGTGGAAATCTGCCCATTATTTCCAGTCTGACTGTGTCTCCCGTCGGCTCCCGGCCACTGGGTCTCGCGCTGCCCTTGGCAGCTGCGTTACAGAGGCCCCTGCCCTCAGAAACAGAGCTGGGCAAAGGAGAGATTCTCTGGGAATCCTGATAAATCCGTCTGGGGCCGAGCTAAACGTTCCGTTTCCATTTGAAGCATTACAGATTGTTTATGAAAAATAAAGTGAAAGACATTTTTGACTGGAAAAGAAATTGACTTGTGGGGCATGTTTTCTTTTTCCGACCCGAGTTCACAAAGCGTTTCCCTGTCGCCGAATCTGGATTGTTCTGTCCTCGGAAAAACCTGTCAAGTGAAAAACGTCGCCCAGCGCAAATCAGCAGCCTGCCTGGCCCGGTCGTGCGGCCCAGGCTCACCCACTGCAAAGCTGTCTGGCTTTCCTACCCCTGTTCCGACCCTTCCTGCAGGCTCCCAGTCTTCCTGGGCAGGGGATCTACTAGTTAAAAGAGAAACAGTCTCCAGCCGGCCAGACCTATTAGCACAACCCTGAAACTGTTCAAGAGCCATTCAAGGGGTATGAACCCCTTGAATGGCTACAACCTATCCTGAAAGATGATCCTTTACTCTCACAGATCTTGGGAGACAGACCTTACTCTCACAGATCTTGGGAGACAGACCTGTCCTCACTTACAGACAACCCCCCAACCTAAAGCAAATACTCACCAGCAACCACACATCACTGAACAAAACCACTAACCCAGGAACCTATCCTTGTAACAAACCCCGATGCCAACTCTGTCCACATATCTATTCAAGTGACATCATCATAGGACCTAATCACATCAGCCATACCATCAGGGGCTCGTTCACCTGCTACATCTACCAATGTGATATATGCCATCATGTGCCAGCAATGCCCCTCTGACACCTCCATTGGCCAAGCCGGACAGTCTCTACGCAAAAGAATTAATGGGCAAAAATCTGACATCAGGAATCATAATACTCAAAAACCAGTGGGAGAACACTTAAGGCTGTCTGGTCATTCAGATTCTTACCTGCGGGTGTCTATATTATAACAGAAAAACTTCAAAAACAGACTCCAACGAGAGACTGCTGAGCTAGAATTGATATGCAAACTAGACACAATCAACTCCGGTT